AAATTAAATATAAATGCGATTAAAATACCAATTAATTGTAAAACTAATAAATTTGTCCAAAAAATTGCTTCTCATTTAGTTTTGTGCCAAAAATTATTAAGTTTTGAGTCAAAGAGTGGAAGAAGTGATGAATCAATTGGTCTGATGGCAGACAAAGACATTTACGACGAAAAATATTTTCCTCCGTGTCTTAAAAGACCCGGTCTTTCGGTCTATAAATTCAAGCAATACTTCAATGAAAGCGATTACAAAAGGAAACCACAGATCGAGAGTTCGCTTACAAACGGCGTATGGATTACAAGATGTCATTTGATTGAACCCAAAGAAGTGGTCTTCACGTCATCCAAGACCAGGAAGAAGGAGTCGGAAGCGATTGTTATGGGAAAGGCTTTACTTTGGCTCAGAGACAATGGTTTGTAAATGAATATAACGTTGAGTTAAAACATACTATATTTATATGCATTTCATTTGTCTTAGACTTTGTGGACAATACTTTCTCTGCGGTTAGGATGACATCGAAGCAAATCCGAGACTTTTACGACTCAAGCAATGGTCCGATTAGTATAAAACCAATCGATGACAGCCTTAGCGATGAAATGAACAAATTTTGCGATTCATTTGATAAAACATTGAAAGACAAAATTGTCAACATTTGTCGCACTTCTCAAGATTTCAAAGACATTGAATCAAACGAAACCGATTTGAAAGAGGGCTCCAATCCATCCGCTGTTGCAGTCATTCGCAATATTTTTGATAACAGAATATATGAAGAAATGAGTGAAAATCTAGCAAACGATAGGGAATTACAATTGAAGTCATTTTTAGAGAAAAGAAAAATACGAGAAGAAAGCGATGATAGCTATGGAAGACTTCGCCGCAAATTAGTAGAGCTTCCGATGAATCACTACAGGAAACAGATCTTACAAACCATTGAAGAGAACAGAATTGTTGTCATCACTGGTGACACCGGGTGTGGAAAAACCACTCAAATCCCGCAAATGATTTTTGAAAACCAAATTAAGCGCCAAATGGGAGCCCAAACTAATATAGTGGTCACTCAACCGCGCCGTCTGTCAGCCATTTCTATATCACAACGAATTGCTATGGAATTCGGAGAAGAAGTGATCGGAAACTCAATCGGATATAACATTAGATTTGATAAACATATTCCCAAACACACGAATGGAGCCATTCTTCTCTGTTCGGCGGGAATTCTACTGCGAAAACTTGGATCTAATGCCGGTCTGAAAGGTGTCAGTCATGTGATCATTGATGAGGTTCACGAAAGAGACGTTATAACAGACTTTCTATTAGTTCTAATGAAGAGATCACTCGAATTGAATCCAAATCTTCGCGTTATTTTAATGAGCGCTTCAATGAACGCACAATTGTTTGCCAATTACTTTAACTGTCACCTCATAGAAGTTCCCGGACGTTGTTATCAAGTGAAGCATTTATATTTGAATGACTTCTGCTCTCATTTAGGAAATCAGTGTTTAGTTAACAAGTTTTCCGAAAGAAATCCAAAAGTTGACGCAAAACTGATCGCACTTTTGGTTAATTATATAAACCGACGCAAACCGGACGGCGCTATACTGTGTTTCCTTCCCGGTTGGGCTGAAATACAAGAAGTTG